CTATCCGGCAACAGAAGTGAGAGGAAACTTGAAGTTGTTTCCCAAGTGCAGAAAATCACGTTGAGCTGTGCCAGCAAAGACCTCTTATAAGCTCTGTTTAAGCTTGCTAAGTTCATCTTGACTATATCGTTTTGGAAGTGCCTGCTTTAGGAACTCAGCTCTCAAAGAGGGAATGACAAGCCACTGGAAGTGGTCACCTTTCCAGCTGGCATAGTGCTCCCAGAAGAGGCTATGAATCTGTCCCTTCAGAGACAGACTTAGAAAATGTTTGAAGCTTTGGTAAACTCAAATGCAAAGATTGTCACCTTAAACATAGTGCAAGATTCCTGATCTGAATAAATAACTGGAAAAGTTAGTCTGCATGTACTACTCTGCGTGGATTTTCATTAATGAGTCTCATAGGATCAACCGGAGGTAATGCATCCTTGTAAGTAAAGACGAGTGAATAGGATTTCACTCCAGAGTGCAGGAAGTGCTGCCCAAAATTGCAAAGACTATGACAGTGTGTATCTTCGATAACAACAGAAATATTAACGATGCCTTTACCTTACATAAAAAGTAGAATTTTCATTTCTTCTTCTTGTGTGTGTCTGAAGATGTTCAGGCCTGAGCCTCTTGGCTACTATTTTGAAAAAAAACTAAGTGATCTCTCGACTACTGGGATGGTAGGCATTTCTCGCAAAGGCTCTATTTGCTTATGGGAGCTAAATGCTGAACTATTAAGCAGATTTGCATAGAGTGCAAGGACTTTGATCTTGACAGAACACATATTTTGCAGAACAATATTATCTTGGGAACAATTAAAACTTGCATAAACAAAGATGGTGTTTGTACTGGCAAACTTTTCTTGCTACTTCTCCTTCTTTCCCCACTCCTTGCTTCCCCCTCACCCATCCACTGCTTATGTCACTGCTGCAGCTAGAAAGATCGTTGTTGCTCTCAGATGCTGTCACCTGCATAACAAAGCAGCGATCGAGTTCTGTCATTTCTGAGCCTTCAGAAGTGTTAACAGATGTGCCTGTTCTTGAAAGCCAAAGAAGGTGCCATGTGAGGAGAAAGCTAAACTAGCTGTAGAAGCTGCAGAAGCTAAGAGAAACTAAATGTAGATGGTAGGGTAAAAACCTGAACTTCTTTTTATCTTAAAGCTTCTTAGAATTGTTTTTTATATTCCAAAGCTATTTGAACTATGTGGGTAGATTTGGAAGGAAGCTTGGTCTGCATGATATATGCTGATATAGCTGTAGTATTGGAAATACGTAATCGCAGTGTGTGTCACACTTGTACATAAATTTCACCGATACATTCATGCCTAGTGTTTGCTCAAGGGCAGAGTCGTGCTGGAAATCTCACATAGGAGAGGTGTTATTTCAGAAGTCACTTCAAATTATATCAAGATATTGGTGAGCTTTAGGTTGCACATTAAGAAAAACTTTTTCCCCGGGAGGGTGGTGGAGCAGGTTAGCCAGAGAGATGTGCAGTCTTCGCCCAGGGAGGTTTCCAGGTCAGCCCCAATCTGGCATTGCAAGTAGCTCCCCTTTAAGGGGTAGGTTGGACTGGATCACCTTCAGAGAGAGATCTTTTCCAGCTGCTGTTTCAGTAAGTGTGAAAAGATGCTACCAGCTCATTTCTTCAGGATAATCTTGTGAGAATAAACTTGTTTTGCGGTACCTGTTTTATTGGTACACTGAAATATTTAATATGTGAATTCAGTCATGTATAAAATAGTGGGGCAAGTATGTTTTTGCTCTGTCAGGATGAAAGATCAAATGGTTTTTCATTGGGACTGGCTGTACTGTAAGTTGCAAATGACTAACCTTCAGGAGTCCTGAAACTAACTTCCATAGATTTCTGACAGGGGTTGGCAGAGTTTTAGGGTAGTTACGGGGGTTCTTTTCAGTCAGAAGAATAAAGAAGCAACACTGAGCACAGATAAAATGAAACGTTTTGAAGGTAAGACTGACACACAGATCTTGACAGGTAATATGTTCACCAGTATAGGCTTCCACAAGTAATTTACCAATTAAATATAGTGGAAAGAAAAATTGGATGTATTGCCATGTGAACCACAGGGTGATGTTGACGTAATGTTCATCTTTTCTTTGCGTTAGTCATGTTTTAAAATATTTGGAAAATGCTGTTGGTTGTTATGAGTAGGCTGAAAAGCTTTCTGTGGGCTTTCCAGCATATCACAATATTAATTTAAGCTTGAGGTCAGAATTAATCATTTTTGTCTCTCTCCCCTTTTTTAACCATCCCACAACAGATATGTTACATTAAGTGTTACAGCTCTGCCTGCAAATAAATAAAGTCCTGTCAGTCAGAGCTGTCAGCCGAAGTCCAAAATGTCTGCCCTACCACTTCTATATGAAAAAATAAATCCTAGCAGGAGGTTGAAGAATGAACAATATAATGGGAAGATTTTCTACATGACAGCATGGGAAGAAGTAGTATTTTTGCCACATTTTTGTTGTATTTCTGTGGTGCCCATTCATGGCCACTACAGAACTGATTTCCATATGTAAGGGAAGGGCACCAAGTACTAGTCTGTATCTTTAGTGGGCTTTCTGAAGCTGTTTTCATCCTTACTGGGTAAGATGAAATAGAGGAGGCTTATATATACAAATTCCAACCAAAGCCATTTGATACTAAAGTTGCAGAGAACTATATTGTTTTGATTGCTGTGTGTTTTAAGATAAGATTTTGCTCTAATGCATTAGTCTTAGCCATGCTAATTAAACTTGTTTTCCAAAGGAAATATTGAAGAGAATTTCCTAAATTCCAAAGCATATTCTTAGCAGTAGCTTTCCTGCAGTTGAGGTGGGAAAAAAATCTAAATTGCAGCTTAATACTGAGAAATTAAACGATAGAATGATATAGTGAAGTACAGTGATACGTAAATTCATAGATATACAGCTCGAATGTGCTTATATGCCAAGTGCTTCCAGAAACGTACAGAAGTGCGTTTGTAGTGTGTACTATAGTGCACAGTAAAGAACTGAACTCTAGTTACAACCAGCATATCTTACCAGTAAAGAATAAAGATACTTTTTATCTCCAGTTTCACCATACTGTTTAAACCAAGGAGCCTTTCTTGTAAGAAAATATTCCTTATTAGAAAATCCAAAGCTTTCACAATAGACTTTGATTGTTACTGTAAAGTGAAAGGAGGAGGAAAGCTTTCACACCAAAATGCTAATAATGTTCTCATTGTTAGTGCCTTTGTATTGCATATTAAGTGGATCTTTGCCTATCGGCCCAAGTTCTGCATCTTTGTAAGCATCTACCTTCCCCTAATACAGTCATCTTTGGACTGTGTGGTGGACTATACTTTTTTTTAGCTGGGAAGGAATGCTGTTTATCCTTTGTAAAGTATTCGCCCTAAATGCGGATGGACCACTCTGTTAGACTAAAAGCATGTGTTTGTTGTAGGTGGACTGTTAATACACCATTTCTATATTATTAAATGGTGCAAACCAGAAAAGGCAGTGCGACACGGGGTTTATTGTATGAGCAATAACTACTTTTTAAATGCCTAATGATTATGTGATTTAGTTTTTACATTGTGGTTTGATAAATGAAATGCTTGTGTTGTATTGCAGTCTCTTCAACCTCTCCAGGAAAAAAAGGAATTGAAATCTAATTTGCTAGGAAAGACCTGTACCTTTTAGGCAGAAAAAAAAAAAAGTCTTTCCTAGCAAATTATGCTGGACTTGTGCATTTTTATAGTCCTTTTGAAAGCGTGATGACAAGGTCAATAGTCCTGTATACATTTTCAAATTATTTGCAAGGTGCTGAATGGTAGGCCTTCTAGATTATTTTTTTTTTTTTTAAAATCTGCTTATTTTTATTTATACTTTCTAGGTCCATTCAGTGGTTAAATGTCATTGCAGTCAGATTCTGGGCATTCTGCCAAGTCTTTAGTATTTTCAGGCTGCTGGATAAAGTACAAAGAAAAATGCTTGTCTGTATTTCCTTGTAAAATTTTCAAGTAATATATAGCCTCAGAAGTAAGACCACCCTTATTAAAGTAAGAGCACAACTAGATGAAAACAGGACCGACTCTCACTTTCTCTGACTATCTGTACAGCTGGTTAGAATATAGAGTTCACTTAGACATGTAAGAACTGCAAATGTCCATGAATTAATAAGAAAGCCTGAGCTAGAGCTGTAGGCTTTTGGCAGCCAAAGGTGTCTGTTTTTAATAAGTGAAGATAAGCCTTTTCTGAAGTATTAAAACCGAACAAAAATGATTTGAAATTTTAGAAGCTCACCATTATCATTGCCTCTGTTACAACTGATCCTGTAGTTATAATACGTTTGTCAGAGCCTTGTTCCTATGCACTACAGTATATGGTTTCCACAAATGTTCTCATCCTTTTGAAAAAGAAATTACTTTGTGTATTTTTTTAAAGTTGTTTTTGTATCTCAACTTGACATTCACACTATGATCAAGCTGATTGTTCATTTCCCACATTAATTTCTGTATAAACATGATTTCTCCATATCGAAAGAACTTCAAAATATAGATACTTGCTTGCAAAGCTGACTTGAGGGGGAGTGAGTGCCATGTGCCTCCTTGTAATCTTTTGTGTGTGTGTATTTTGCTATATACATTGCACTGCAAACAGCAAAGCAATGTAGCTGCAGTATTTTTCCCCAACATTTTAGAAAAGATGTTTGTAAATGAATCTGAATGGAGATTGTTATGCTTTGATAAGAATTGAAAGGAAATCTGAGTGCATGCTTTGGAGTACTCGCTAGGCAAGGTTATTTTCTGTTGTAAGTTACAGACTTTTTACATGGGAGTTTGAGAACAACCGTGCTGTGCCTGCTCAGAGAATAGATAGGATTTAAGCCTCTGACACTATAATGACATAAAAACAAAAGTGGTTTTATTTTTCCTAAGGAAAATAAAATATAGAAGAAAGGAATTTAAACTTGATTGTTTGTTCTCATGTAATTGCTGCTTTTTACTAATTTCCTCTCTTTTTTCTTCTAAGTTTGTGCTGAAGCTTTCAATCCAGATGAGGAGGAAGAAGATACAGAACAAAGGGTAAGAACGAGTGAATTGCATCATACGTGGTTCTCTCTGCAGTTTGACAGGCAGATGTCTGTACGTCACCTTTTCCCTACCACTTGTGCATTTCGCTCTGAGAGGCTGTGTGGTATGCTGACATTGACAAAGTGACATAGCTCTGAAATTTAGGGCCACTTTGTCTCATGCACTTTTTTGGTCAGTATAGCTTTAATGTAATTTTACTTCAAAGGACTCGAGAGCTGTGCTTAAGTCTGCCATCTTTGAAATTTTGGATATTTTCCTTTCTTAATTATCTTAAAGGCTTGTTGAGGCAATTCCTGGAGCATCGATGCTGTTGTGAAGAATTAGTTAAGCTTTACCACAGCTGTTTCTTCATGGATGCTTAAAATTCCTCACATGCTTTTTTCTGCCTTTCTTGTCAAAGCAGTTCTGCCTGGGTAGGAGAAATACTTTGTTGAAATATTTTCAGACTGTGGCCACCTGTTGTTCTATTGTTTTTGAAAGTTGGGAATTTCTAGGAATTGCAAGCCCAGATACTGTAATTGTGTTTCTTTAGAGATGCTTTTATGTGAGCAAATCGTGTTGCCTGGCTGGTGAGGGTTGATGTTTTCTCTCTGGACTTCTGATGTTCCTTTTCCAGATTCCATTTCAAGGATGCTTACACTTCTGCAGTGAAAATCTAAGTCTAATTTTATTTCTCTTAAAAGAAAAAAAAAAAATTCATAAATAAGATGCTATAAAAAGAAAAAAAGGCTATGATTGTGTCCGATCATCAAAATGTTTGTAAACCTAGATACATTTATTCCATCAAAAGTCTTAATTTTCCTGACTGCTGATTCAATATTCAGTTTTCTTTTAAAACAACGATCTGAGATCTGCTCAACTCTGGACAGTGAATTTTTAGAAATGCCTACTAATGTAATTGTCTTTTGGAATCCTTGTTATTCCAGAAATGTAGTTAATGTGGTGAATGTGAGGTAATTAATATTTTTATATATGTTTTTGTAATTAGCCCCCAACAAGCACATTTATAAACATTTTTATGACGTAGTGAGTGTTGGTTCCTTTAAACTGATGAGATGTTTATAACTGGAAAGAAGTAACAAAAAATAAACTCTCAAACAGCAAAGTGTTTATTTAAGTAATTTTGTTGGAAAAAAATAAACCCTGCTGCTTAGATAACTTCTGTTATTAGATGAGTTGAGATCATATGTATCATAAATCTTATAAACTACCTATATGCCAACAATAAGAATAATGGGAATAATATAGCTGGAGTTTAGAAAGAAAACTGTTGACTTTTCCTCTGTTCCAAATGCTCAAGCCTTGGCTGTATCCGTGGCTGGGTTAGCAGGGAAGGGAAAGGAAAAGCCATCCTCTTCTTTCTTACCGTTCTTGACTGTTGTTTTGCATGTGTTAATTGTCAGCATAATATATTTCTTATGCCTCTTTCTTGCATTTTATGTTTTTATATAAATACTGTTCATGTAAACAACAAAAAAGAACTGTATATTTTGACACTCTTAAATTATGTTCTCTTTTTCACTCTGAAGTGAAGGTTCAGTCTGTAATCCTATTTCTTTGTTGTCACGACAGTTTTGTTTTACTTTGTTTTAAAGGTAGTTCATCCAAAAACTGATGAACAGCGATGCAGACTGCAGGAAGCATGTAAAGATATCCTACTTTTCAAAAACCTAGATCAGGTAATAACATTTTAAGGAAATTTTAACTGGAGTTGATGGTTTGTAGGTACAGATATCAGTATTATCTAACAGTCCAGACATTTGTTTGCATTGTGATAGTTCATGAATTATTAATTATATGCAGGCTGGATTGGGGTGTGTTTGGAGATCAACAGTCAATGAACAATATAAACAAACATGTCAAATTGTCGGTTACCATGATTGTCAGATACCTCTCCCTTCAAATTCAATTTTCTTTTTTTCTGTTGGAGAAAAGTTTGGGTTTGTTTTTTTAAATTCTTTTGCTTATCTTTCAGTATTTGCTGTTGGGTACCATTGCACCTGACTTCCTTTTCCTTAGGAAACAGTTCATAATTTTACAGGCAATTTAAAAAGGAAATTACTTACGCAAATGTGATATTGAACACTATCCCCATTTGCATGATTTTGGATTTCTGCCCCTTAAATGCCAATATGTCAGTAAATTTTCTGTAAATGAATGTGAAGTAATGTTTTTCGATATGAAATTTTAATGAGGATCATAGGGTAGTTCAGGAACAGACCTTTCAAGATCCTCTAATCCATGCATCTACTCTCTGGTCTGGTGTTTCCATGAAAACAGAACTGACATCTGTACTACAGGTTGGGTAAGAATGAAAGCTGTAACACCAGCGATGCTCCTTGCTTCCTGATTTGAATCATTGAGCTTTGCCTCAGATATGAAAGGATGGACGTGATAGCTTATGGTTTCACAAATGCCGCTCAACTTTCTTTGAAAACCAGCAAGTTCTACCAGTTCTTGGTTGCTGTACAAACCCCGAGAGTCATTGAACTGCATTCTCAAAATAATTGTTGAAAGCTTTTGATTGCAGCAGGTTTGAGGAATTACCGTTCTGTCAGAAAGTTTCCTTGAAAGCTGTCCTTTCCAAGACTGGCCTTTCTAAGACTGTTCTGGGATTCCTGTTGTCATAAAGCCTATTTGCTTAAGACATTTTAAAGGTTCCTTTTGCAAGGAACCTGATCATGTACAGTAAAAATGAAACACATTTAAGAACATTCAGCAGCTTAAAGGGTATGTACAAAATGTGATCACCATTTGAATTGAGTAGGCCAATCTTTGAGCTTCCAGCAAAATCACCCAGAAGCAAAAAGTGATAACCAGTTTATATTAAAAAATGACTTTGAAAAACAAATTTGAGCTGAGAAAGTAGGCTTGGAAAAATACTGCTTCTTGGGAAAAGCTTTCTAAACAGCTGAGAATTAATGGAAAAGATCTTAACTGCAACTGTTAAAGACTCAGGCTTTAAGATAGCACATGACTGAAAAAGATGACATTTGATTATAGTATGATAAAGGGCACTTAGCAGAGAGGGGGAGAGCTTTCCTAGTAGTGGGTATAAAGGGAGTATGGAACTTGCATCCTTTCACCCCTCCTCCCAATAATTTCTTTTTAACTCCCTCTGTATAACGCGACTGGTTTGTAGAATACCCGCTGAAAGGCAGAATGTATGGCTGCTGCTCTTGCTCAGTGTATATTGTCCTTTAATAACTGTGAGGAACGCTTTCAAATTAAGGCTCAAAATACGTTCTTTTGCTTCTTAACCTCTAAAGAGTGTCATGTAAAACTGTTAAATACAAGTGAACAAACCCAACAACAATAAAAGTGCATAAACCCCCTTTAGGAGTAAATATGATTGTGTGACTCAAATGTTCTGGCCAAATTCATCCCTTTTCCACTGGTTGCATTGAGGTGAACTCTGCTGAATTTAGGCTCAGTGGCTCAGCAGCCCTTTTAAATGTATTCACTTGCATGAATAGTTACTCTAATACTTCGTATCAAACACAAGGGAGCCTGGGTCCAGTGCTTCACTTCTAGAGAGGTTCACGTTGAACTTTGGACTAAAATCAATTCAAATTGTCACAGAGGTCAGCCCTGAGATTTTGAGTGTCCCCAATGATAAAACTGATTTATGTTTCAATATAAAGTGCTGGGGGGAGCAAATAACTTCTCTCCTGTTAAAAGCTCTGTATGATGTATCACGCATAGGCTCCACAGTGTCTTATTGATGAGTTTGTCGAATCCTGGTTAGAACTGAGTTTTGTACTGGGTGAGAGCAATGACTGTTGTTCTTACCAGCATGCTCAGTACCCATATTTAAATCAAGACGGTTTTTTACAGTTCAGAAATGTGACTAAGCTTGTCCTTTTATTGATTGATAGAAGACCTCAGTGCTTTATTTACTTAAAATGATGAAACTTTGCCTGTTTATGTTCCAAATAAAGCATTATTGAGTTACAGTATTTTTAAAAGGCTTTTTAAAATCTGCATTGCTTGCTTTCTGACAACTGTTACTTAAATGTATGCTGTGAAATACGTGGTTAAAATAAATGGCTTTCATGCCATGATTGTTTATTTAGTTTAAATATCAGGAGAGTTTTTTAAAAACAGAATAGGATTCTAGTGAAAAGATAGGCAATATTTTCAATATAGTGGTACCTACAGATGCTGCAATGATTATTCCCAAATTAAGGAGTGCAGTAAATATTTCAAGTGTATCTAGCAGCATAAAGGCTAGTTTGCATGTTCATGCAGTATATTTTTAGAAACTCAGCTATGATCTACATCTTCAAATTTGAACATCTGGTCATTGAAAATGCAAATGTTTATTGTTAATGGACTTCGAAATAGCATCTCATCAGAGAAACCTAGCTTCAGTCTTCTGTGCAGACCAGCATTATCCCATTTTCTGTATGTGCTCCTCATCTGTACCTGTCTGATCTCCTCTTGTGCTGGAATTGCAAGTTCTTTAAGACACAGACTATTTAGGGAAATAACTCTGTATAGAGACTTGTTCAGTACAGTCCTGATCATGACTGGGACTGTTAGATGATGACAGTCCAAATAAGTTACTAGTAAATTGTGGTGCAGTTTCTAGACATATGTACATATAACGAACTATATGTGCTGTTGACATCATCAATATGTATCCATTGCAGTGAAGCTGTGTCAGATTATACTAAGTGAGAGCTTGCTGTACATGTGTACTGAAATGGTATACATAAATTAAGCCATTTGCATGTAAATTTGAGGTAATAGCTCCCCTGTAATAGAACTATCTATGTTTGTCTGCATTATTGAACTTATAATCTGGAAACAAGTGAGGTGCTAGTGGAAATCAACATTTCATATCAGTATTACTTGTATTTCCATACAGTAAAAATAATGCAATGCATGTTGCGCTTCACTATCCAGATCAAGTCAAATGAACTTGCCCTTGTACAGCAATAATGCTAAGGTGTATTTTCTGAGTTGGGTGTTTAGTGGTTTGGTGTTTTGTTTTGTTTTTTTTTTTTTCCCACTAAGGTTTGTTTTATAGGAGCAGCTGTCTCAGGTTCTTGATGCCATGTTTGAGAGGAAGGTGAAACCTCAGGAACATGTGATTGACCAAGGTGATGATGGAGACAACTTCTATGTCATTGAGCGGTAAGCAGCTGTGCCTTTGAAATGTAGAGTATATTTCTTTTCAGTTTCTTAGAGATGGCACGGAATGCTTACTGTAGGACAGTTTCTGAAGGAAATGTAATTTTTACAGTCATTGCCTCTTCCTTTGGTCTTTCCATTTTCTCCTTTAGGCCCCCACTGACTTTCGGATCATTTGCCCAGGAGCAGTCAAATTTGACAGAGGTGGACATTTCAAACCTGCTGGGTTTTAACACATTCTGTATGACTGCATTAAAAACTCAAATACCACTTTCTCCGAGGGAAGGGCTGCAGCATGGGCTTGCCTATGATTTGTTCAGTTTGGCTTTTGTGGCCATCAGCATATGCGTAGCTTAAAATCAGCCATATTACATGCTGTCTCTAGGCCAGGATGTGTTTCTTCTGAAGAAAGGAGGGGGAAAAGCAGCAAAAAACCCCATATGGTAAGGGAAGGGATAGGAGATTATTTTGGGGAAGGAGAATATAGGAAATAAAAATCCATGGTAGTGGCTGCCATGGAACAACCTGGATGTTGTCCAGTTAATTTTGATCACTGACTTGAGAGTGACTTTTGGTTACTTTGCTCCTGATGGTCATGGGATTCGTATTAACAGAGTTTAAGGTGCCATTTTGCAATCTCTTGCATCAGGCAAATTCACATGATGATTTTGTGGATCATATATATGTGCAACAAGCATAGAATAGATATGTGTGTGCATGCGTGTTTTCAGTATCTTTTACCCTTTTGGAAGAAATTCTGGCTAATGTTACTTCTAATCACTGTATTTGAAGAAGAATTAAGGACACAGATTTATTTCCTCATGCAAAACTGTAATATTAAACAGAATATTACTGACTGAAATATAGATGTCTTTTGGAACATGATCTTAAACTACTTTTTGATACACTGCTATCATATCACTTAAATAATGGTAGCATTAATATTGTATAAAATGCTTTCAAAGCAGTTCTTCAAGACAATGTGTTGGCTTTTGAATTGTCATTTATGCTGTGTTTAAGGAATCTGCAAAAGAATTTCTAGGTTAGAAATTGTTCATTTTAAACAATTGTTGTTCAATTTAAGGACATTCCTCTTTCTGATTAGTGGAATTACAGAACATAAGGCTTCCTCAAATGTATTCTGACCATATGCACGTTCCCCTGTCTTCTGCCATACCATCCCATTAGCCTAAACCAGTGCTCTGTTTCTACACTCAGTTATCTCCCTCAACCGCTCTACCTCAGACCAATCCCATGACTGGCTAGATCAGACAAGTTCCTTCTCTTGCTATGTTTGCTGGGAAGATCAGGTGGTCCCATGTAAGAGTAAGGTACTGCAGGTCAGAACTCATGGGAGCCAGAGCCACCAGCTCTGCAAAGATGAGATGTATGCACAGCAGCAGTTCCTAGTCTTGAGGAAAATTAAGATCAGTTTGGGAGCCTCTCAAAAATGTTAGATACCATCAGCCTATTTTGTTTCTGTGTAAAGCTCTTAACCTGTTGGTTACTAAAAAGCTATTCCTGCTATGAGTTTTAACCTAAAATAAAGAGGTGAAATGGAACCTTATCTTTGATATTCAGGTAAATGTTTTTATGGTCTCTCTTCTACAGATGTAATGCTATTCCACAATGTTTTTTTTTCTATCAAGAGATAGTTGGGTTGGAAGATTTCAGTTTTTTAAGTTTTTGTTTTGTTTTACTCTCAAGGTATAACACACCAGTAACATAAATCTATTCCCGAAAGTATGTGGCAGAAAGGCTGTACAGTGAGGGAAGTTAAACTTGATGTTGTCTAGCAATAGAGCTGTAAACACCAACTTGGCTGCAACCTTATGTCAGATATTCAGTTATTAGAAAGAATTCTATGGTTATGAATTTTCTATCCCCCTCTCTCCCAGTCCTTTTCCAGTCCTCCTCCACCTCCCACCCCCTCATTTTTTCATGTAAAAGACTAGCAGGATACTGGTGCTTGTGAAAAACTACAATATTTCCACTTGCCTGCAAGTGCAAATTCAGAGGACTCTGGCTCTTTCAAGGCATCAGTAGGCATGTCTTGTTACTCTAAGTCATTAATGCCTAAATATCTCTGAGGATTCGTTTCTTCCTGAATGAACAGTGACTTTGTGTTGCAGGTGTAACTCTTTAGCTTTCTGGCACAGGCCTCTTTTTTTTTTGCCCCCGAAGTCTTCTGGTTGTAATACTTCCTCACCAGATCCTTTTTGTCTCAGTGTCTTTTACCATACGCAGAGGGACAGCAGGCAGGACAGATGCAACCTGAGGATACAGCAGCTCTTTAGTGCTGACTGCATGGAAGGGAGAGCTAGGACGAATGTGTTGCATGGCTAAACATTAGTATGCTCATCACTGCTGAGGAGGCACCTGATGAGTCTTTGCTGATTAAGCAGTCATCAGTTGGGAGAGGTAGCATTGGCATATGTTGCCTTTTGAACAGACTGATCCACACTCTTGCTGAGTTGCTCTCTTCTGCTTTTCTGCCTTTCATTTTTTCCTTGGCGTTTTATATTTTTTCATATTTTTTCATGTCAGGTTTTTTTTTTTGAGTCCTTGAGCTCCTAATGTTTACCGTTTCAATAACTACACTTTGGTCTGTGTTTTTGTTCTTATCTTGCAGGGCTTTAGCTTATGGACTGCTCACAGCTCAGCAACAGTTTTCTCAATAAAGCTGAGCCAAGGTCACCCAGTGGTGCCTCACCAATTTAGTCCTTGGGCCACAGACAACTGAATGCTTAGCTGAAGGTTACGTGGCTATAGTTGTTTAGAAATACATGGCACTAGTAAGTGACTTTCAGGCTGAGGGATGGGAAGAAGTTGTTGCATTTGCTTAAGGTGCTGAGACATGGCTCTTCTAGATCAAAAAAACCCTATGAAAATTATTGCCTCTGGTGCCTCTCAGAGAATCATTAAATAGATATTGGACATTACAAGAATTGGTGAAACTTTCCATCAACACTAATCCTTATTTAGTTTACTGTTAGCATGCTGTTGGTTTCTTTCTCTGTCTTCTAGGTGTAAGCAGTAGAGTGTAAAAAGTGTCTGGTAAGGATATTATGCAGTCTTCATGTGCATAGCTTCTTCCTTTTGCTTTCTGGGTGACAAAGAGAGATTAAATTTCTTGGATCTTCTGACGTGTCTGAATCTGGCCTATCCACTATTGGGTAGCCAAGCTCTTCTCTGGGTCTGAAAGGCTTTAATACAGTAGACCCTCAAGTCATTGTGCAAAGCTTCCTCACTTTCATGTATTTTAATTGTTTGTTTGCATGTAATGTCCACTTTGTGGAATCTTCTGTAAACGAAGCTGGCATAAAGCTGTCCTGTAGTACTTTTTTTTTTTTTTTTTTTTAGATGCAGCAGTGTTCAAAGATAACTAACAAACCCAGGGCTATCCATCAGCAATCCTGAAAGACTCTGCTGTTAATACTAGGCAGGTCTCACCAATGAGTCTGTTCCCATACTTTGTTACCATCAGAAGTTTCACCTGCTGCCATTTCTGGTGCTTCTGGTTTTTTTTCTTACGTGCCTAATGATGTTCTGGGAGATAATACCATTCCTTCTGACAAAGATCTAAACTCCTGGGGAAAATTATATGTGTGTTCAGCTGCTTAAAGCCAGGAAGGTGTTCACTACCTGCTTTTCTCCAAGGCTTGATATATTTTGTAAAGTCTCTTAGGCCAGTGGGTAGTCCCTGGATGATCTCTGAATGCCATAGCCAAGAATGAATCAAGCCTAGTCGAGCTATGTTTTAAATTTTTTTTTTTTTTAAAGCTTCAAGCATAAGACAGTCCTGAGGGTGTTAGACACTTGTTTGACTTTTAAAGGGCTACCTTTCTGTGCACAGCCTGTTTCTTCATATGCAGTTGCAGTGGTGGAGTTTGATCCAGATTTTTGTCTTGAGCTTTGACTCGCTGGACTTGTACCTTCATCAGAGTAGTCTTTTGATTCTTAGCAAATTCTGGGATACTGTTCCTTTAACTTCGTTATAACATAGGAAGTGTGCCTCTTGGAGAACGGGGTGAGGAAGCCTTTCCAATTTAAACACGTTAAAGCTCCCTATGAATAAAGTGCAAGGAGGCTTCTGGTACTTGAACACTTTGCTCTTGATCTGTTCAGAGCTCCTGGCTAGATGGTAGCAGTTTTAGAGAGCTTTCCTCTTTCTAGAAGTGAGCTATAACCAAAACAAACAAACAAAGGAATTAAAAACCTTTTAGCTTGGCTGCTTTAATTTGAAACCAGTGTGACTAGAGGGGGACCTGTTCTGCAGAACTGCTGGAAATTACTTACCCATGTTTCCTAAGCTTGTGCATCCTACAGTGTCACCTCAGCACACAGAGCTTTGTGAGAGTTGAACAGATGCTCTTCAAGTTTGAACACTGCATGCTGTAACCTGTGTTCTTCAGTAGCCACACCTCCATAGCCATCCACCCATGTATGATACAGACATACCCTTAAGCTGGAGTTGAGGCACAACCATAGGAGCAGGTGAGCAGTTGGATTGAGTGTATCCCAAAGGTACTGTAGAAGCACTGTCACTGAGAAAATGGGTATAGATGGATCCGAGTCACTCTTTAGAAGCCTCACTGGATAACATCCATGCTGTGAAAAGACAAATACTGTTAAAAACAATAAACTACCTGTCACCCTGGCCAGAATACTTACAATAGCAATGTCAAAGTAGTATGCAGAGGAAACCAGGTAGATCCTGCCCAGATCTATCAGGAGTGAAATGCTTTATTAAGAGAGAATTATTTTGAAAATAGCGTAGATAGAAGCAGCTTAGTATCAGTCAATTGGAAAGCTCAATAAAGCATGTTCCATCTCACCCAGCAATAAGCAAAAAGCTGGCGTTATGATTTGTACTGGCATGTTGTCTAATAAAAAGCACCTATTCTGTTGTTTTTCAGGGGATTGTATGATATTGTTGTAGCAAAAGACAACCAGTCACGCTGTGTGGGCCGCTATGATAATCACGGCAGTTTTGGGGAACTGGCGTTGATGTACAACACTCCTAGAGCTGCCACCATTGTTGCCACAACAGAAGGAGCCCTTTGGGGACTGGTAAGGAAAGGAAGTTGTTCTCATGTGCATAATATTTTAAACACTAACTCACCATGTCCAGTGCTTCTTTGGTATGGCTCCTTGTGCTAATAGCTATTTTGTCCTGATCTGTTCTCCCACCTCCTGGCATAAGAGGTCCATGGTGCAAATCTTTTTGGCCACCTTTTTAGAACAATTTGTAAAACCTATATCACTAGTTTTATCTGTCTCTTTATTATTTTGCATTTGCTGTAATTGTGGCTTTTGTTAGGGGAAAAAAAAAAAACAACAACTGCTTTTGTTTTCATCCTGCAGAAGACAGGGGAGGCATTAATGCATGTATTTAATGGGAGGGGGAAAAAATATGTAAATTATGTTCTTTATTTTCAACTCACCTTCCTACCATTTTGTCTGCTTTAAAGGGAATGGGAAGGTGTTAAATATCTTCTTGAGGATGTCAGTAATCTGAAGAGCTAGGAATACTGCCCAAAGCTTTGTTTTCCTTCAAAATAAACTGTCACGATATTTCTGGTCTCTTTGTGTTACCCTGGAAGAGGTTCTCAGGTCAGCATGACCTATGAGATACCAAGCTAAATGATGGTGTTGCTTTGTCTCTAGCCCAGCAGTGTTGAATGTGAAACTGTAGACATTAGTTTCCTTTTTTAGTTCTTTTCTCTCTACTATTTGGATAGGGTTATTTTCACAGTGCTCTCTTACTCATCTGTGAGGGCTCACATAATAAGCGGATTGTGCGATCAGCGAAGCCTTTGAAGCCAGAAGTGTTGTGTGCTTTCTGTGTGTGCTGGGCTCCTCGGCAACTATCGCTGGGGGTTGGCTATGTGTTGTGACCTTGATTATAGGACTGATAAGCTGCTACGCACGGTGTGCTTATGCAATCTCAGCGCTTCCTGAGAGATCTGTCTTCTGACTTCCCTTTTCTTTGTGAGCTGAAAGAAAAGATTTTGGTAAATCAAGGGAGTAATGTCAGAATCTAATTTCTTGAACAAGACAGAACAAAGCAGCTACCTACAAACTGAGCTCATTCATAAAAGGAAGAAAATGGGAAGATGATTCTTTGTTCCAGTTTGCCTTTGAAAAGAACTACACAAATTGGGTTAATTTTGGGTTTGTTTTTTCTGTGATTACATTCACTTAATTAGCAAGGTGTAGTTGAAGGGAGACCTTTTGCTAGTTATATGTCCTGTGGATATTTTAACTAAGGCTGTATTTTCCTGACTAAAATTTTGGATACTTCTTCCAGTTATTCTGTCATTGGCATGTTTTATTGTACTATTTTGTGCCTGATGTAATTTAAACATTATATTTTTATTAGTCTGCAGAAGTCATTGCTAAAGCTCATGGGTTATCTGCTGTTTAGGAAGTGTGGATTACTCCTGCTGCATTTCAGACTCAGGCCAACGAAAGTCTGGAAGGCTCAGGCATAAAGCAGTTATCAAATGTGGGTCTCTTCTGGAGCACAGAAATATCGTCAGCCTTTGCTACTGAATGTGTCTGGGGAAAACTTCACGATCACACACACTTCCTTCACTGCTCTGCCTTTTTTGTTCAAATACTGCTGTTTCTCCCTCACTGATACTCTCCAGCAAATGAATTGTGAATTTTTTATGCTTTCGCAATTCTCCTGACCATTTCTGTACCTTTCTGCTTCTCCAAACATGTTCATTTGAAGAGACCTCTGCCACTGAAGAATTTCTTTAAAAAAAGAAAAACAAAACAGTCCCTCATGCTTTATAATTTCTTGTTTTCCTTTCAGTAACAGTAATACCTTTCTTGCCTTCATCTTTCCCCTTCTTCAACTTTTATATTCCACTAGCGTCACCTGTAGCATTGTTTCAAGTTACAAGTATTTGCAACCTGCATCCCATAAAACTGTTCTCTTACTTGAAAATACCTCTTCACCGCAAAATGTCTCTGCTAAGGTATCAGTTGATGTTTTCAGAAAATGGGATCCAGAGGAATGGCTCTCAGGACTTTGGATGTTTCTGCTAATTGTGGTATATGTAAACTTAAAAGGTGGTGGTTTCGGGTTTTTTGTTGTACCATTTTCCTAACCAAATTTCTGCTACTTTCCTCTGACTTTTTTTTTATTTGTTACATTTATGGCCTCATATTGTGTAAGATAAACTCTGCAGCTGTCACTCTCTTCATAATTTAGTGCTGATCCTAACAAGGACCATGGGCATTATCGTAACGCAAACACACCAAAAATACCTGGTGGGCAAGTGCCCTTCCCCTTAGCCTGGATGTGCTGTTTAGTTTCAGCTCTCTCACGGCCTTTCTCATCGGTATTTGCTGTAGTTGAGCTCTGCCTTTTCTATGTGGAAATAAAAAGCATTTTGTTAAGATCTCTGACAATAAACTCTCAAATATGTCTGCCGTTGCAGGTAGTGAGCCAGGAGCTGTGGTTGACTGGGCGAGCTTGCCTTCGCTCGGGCACCTAGTGCCGCCCAGTGGCCACGGAGCCTGCACATCGCTAGCTGCTGCCTGGGGAACAGATCAGCACAGGAGGGGTGGCAGGGGCAGGTGGGAATCTTGCCCAATGTTTGGGCTTCAAAACTAAACCAAACGGTTTGTCCATCGAGAAGATGCTTATGATACACGTAGACAGCTGGCAATTAGGAAGCAGTGGTTGCAAAAAGCTGGCTCTCGGATCCTAGGTGGAGGAGTGAATCAAGCCTCTTGCTATTTGATATCCTGTTCCTAATCTATTTATTTGAGATCCGTATAAGTCTCCAACTTACTTTTGAAATCTGTGACTCAAGTAGAGAAGAATCCAATTCAGACTTGGTCCTGCTGTTGCCTTAACAAATAACTGTTGGAAGTTCCAATTTCCAATGGCTTCAACAAGAAGAGCGTAACTTCTTCATTGTATGCAGAAGCATGAAAGATATATTAACAAACAGCCAAATGAAATCCAAAGCCTCAACCCTGAAAAACAGTACAAGATAGACTAAAAATTGAATTCTTAAATGCTTATCTGAGAAGGACCAGGTCTTACAGCTCCCTGTTTTTCAATTTGTTTTTGCAACAAGTACTCTCACAAGAGCTGTTACGATCACCATTGTGATGGATACGGTATCATTTTAACGGCTGGCTTCTCAAGCCTAGTGTTTGTTGCCAATATTACTTCGTATTTGTCAGTTCTTTAAACAGGGAGCATTTTAGTAAAGAGGAGTAATGTACTTCTCTGTGCTGTTTCTTGCAGGATAGAGTGACATTCAGAAGAATTATATTGAAAAACAATGCAAAGAAGAGGAAGACATATGAATTATTTATCGAGTCTGTGCCCCTTCTTAAATCCTTGGAGGTAAGGCCTCTCAGAGACATCTGCATCAAATTCTTGCATTAGCATTAGCTCCGCAGTCAGCGTTTCTGCTGTATCAGAAATCTGTGTCATTTTTGCTTAGAACAAAATTTTAAGAGCTGCTTTGGTATCACGTTTACTGTACAACTTAATTTGCATTGTTGAAGTTGTACACTGTTTTTTTCATATGTTTTATTCACAGTAAGCAATTTGCTGATTTTTATCTCAGTCTGTGTAAAGATTTTTAAAAACTCAAAAAAAAAAAAAAACCCAAAACAAAAAGGATCTATAAATATGTCAAAGAACAGGTATTAAAGTGAAAATCGGAACTCAGGGCTGTGGTTTCCTTTGAGGTGTGATATTGAAGTTCTAATACAGTCACTGGGATATTTGGCCTTCATCAGCCATGAATGATTTTAAATTTGAGACAAAGATGTAGACTGTAGTAGGTCTTGCTTTAACCTTAACTGATATTCAGGAGGTAAACTAAGAATAGGCTAAAGGGAAGCACTGCGACCTGGGAACAAAATGATAGATGTCATGTTGAAATGTGCAGTGCATGACGTTAGGAACAATGTGTAAACTGTCACTTCTAAGCTAGTGATTCAGCCTGTATCTTCAGAAGGCTTTTGGAGCCATACCAAACTGCTTTGAAATTAGTATGTGTCTGTCTTTGCCTTGCACCGTAACTGACATTTTCTTTGCTCTCATCATAAGAATATTTTTCAGCATTAATCTTTAGTATTTGAGAAGAGCTTTTAATCCCTTTGAGAGAAGATTACAAAATTGCAAAGTATCATTAGATGTGAATAGCAGCCTCTAATATATATTATTTCGGACATATGTTGGTAGCTGTGGAAGGGGTAAATTGCAAAACAACTTCTCCCTCAGTGCCTGGCTTAAACTAGTTCTCTCAGTGTGGCTTTTTTTTGAGCAAAAAAATGACTCATAAATATTTAAAGATGTAGAAAAATAACTCATTAGCACTGGATGGATTTTTGCACGATGCACTGCAGTTGAATCATGCATGGATCAGAATTAAGTTTCTCAAACATAGGCTAGATTAAAGTGCGTTTGTGGAATGAATGGATTACAACTGAATCATCTGTTGAGATATTAATTTTAACTGTAGGATTTTCTTCCTTTCTTAATATGTTTTTTTTACACTGCTCTGAAGCAATAAAATTGTTTTGTGGTATTCTGGATGGGCAGTGGGAAACACTGGAGATAAATTTAACGGTTCTTTCTCCTTTCTTGTTTATGAAGACTCAGGCATGCTCCATTGTATGTCAGATTAGTACCTCTTGCCCTTGCTGCTGGGCATCCTGTTGCAGTGCCTGCTTACGGTTTAGAGCTGGTATCCTTTTCATATCCCCTTCCTCTCTTCACTCCAGGAATGAGTTCTGGGGCACAAACTCTCTGCATATTCAAGTATATGGTGTTTGAAATATTTTGAAAATGTGTTGCTGGTGTTGCTCATTGAAGCTTGTTCTTAGGAAGTTTATGAATTTTTTCTGAGTGTTTTTGTCAAATTTCAACTGCATCTTAGAGGAAATTATCCCCGCCGCCCACCTTTGCTCTAAACCAGCCAAATCAGTTATTTATTAACTTTTGGGGGTAAGAAAAGCACACGGATGGGACACCAGACAATTTTCTTTCCCTGTTGATTATGGTAGTCTTGAAAAATGTGGTGCAGTATGACAATGCCATTGCAGGGGCTGTATTTTTCAGTACCTGGATACTGCATGTTTGTGTGTCTAGTTGAATGCCTCTTCATTTCAGGGCTACAAAGTTCACCAGAGATGTACTATAATAGATGATTATGTTTAATTTTCCTCTTTGTTCCAGGCATCAGAGCGAATGAAGATAGTGGATGTTATAGGGGAGAAAGTGTATCAAGATGGGGAACGTATAATTTCTCAGGTACTTGAAGTCTAAGTTTATCATTCTCCTTTGTCTGCTGCTTTTTTTCTTGCTTAGAATTGAGTTATAGAATCCTATTACTTGGACCAACTTGGTACTTAGTCTTCTAATACTTCCAGTTTGTTTAACTACTCCTTGAATGTTTGAGGAATGGCCAGTATGTCTTTTGCTACAAATTTGTTCTATTAATTTAGGTTCTGGGTTTTTCTTCTCTCATCTGTTTTTTATAAATGGTCTTTGCAAGGTTTCAAGAGAAGTATGCCTTAAGAAGCTGAAATTAAATGTCTGTCTATGCAATTTGGCACGAAAGCCTCCAGCTAGACTTTTCATAGGCACCTGTGACCATATTAAACAAGGAGTCACAAGCATGTGGTAAAGGCATCTCTAATTCCCAGGTCTGACTAAACAACAAAACTAAACAATCCAACAGGAGTATGATTTGGATGAAAGTACATGAAGTCATTGGGAATATTTCACTACTTGGACCCAACTCAGTCAACTATTCTAAGAAACTATCAGGGTTAATTAAAATCACTGTTTTTCCTGATGCTCTTAAGGAGAGTATTTCAGTGGTGGAGTAGTCTAGCTTCAATTGACAGCCCTTGGTTGTTGGCATATGTTTTGTCTGCTGTAACAGATCAAGGCCAGAGTGGTGGAACATGAAGCTGGACAAACTCAAGCTAAAACTCTGGGATTTTTTTTGGCTATGACACAGATAACTTTTTGGAACACTGTTAGTGATGAATCACTGGAATTTTGCATCAAGCTTAGCTTGGGATTGCTTTCTTTGTTGCAAAAGTCCTCTGGTTCAAGTAAAAGTTAATGCAAGAAAGTCCTGGGCTTACCTGAAATTGCAGGCTTTTGATCACAGCTGTCATCTTATTTTATAAACAGAATATGACTCCTTGATAATGTCTGGAATAATTAATCTTAATTACCTTGAATGTCAGATAACTCTGAATGCAGGAAACCTTAGTTTGCTGATAACCAAATACTGCCAAATTACTTCTCTCCAAAAATACCCTCAATTTTGTAAGTTGAAAATCTTGTTGCTTAAGACCCTGAGAAAACTGAACTCTCAGCAAAACCAAAGCTTATAAATCAGTCTCAAAACTGGAAACCCATGCAATCAGTGATCCAGTTACACAGTTGGTTTTAATCTTTTGTAGTAACTGAATTAAGGACAAGTATGTAATTACCCTTAAAAGGAGGATTAATAGTCTGGATAGGTCTGTGTGATGGTAATACACTGCTAAAGATGATGAAATTTTATGCTTGGAAAAGATGTGATAGATCTTACATTACAGCAATTGCATTAATGCCATGAACCCCTTTTCTCTCATGGATAATTTTACATTTTAATTTCCTTTCTGGAATTTGACCCTACACTTAAGGGCAGTATGCTTTAAAGCACTTGAAAATTGTTAGTGCCTGCTGGTGTTATGAGGATGGCTCCCACTCAGTTGGTTTTCATCCTTTTAAAAAAATAAGTACTTTTTCAGTACTTACTCTTTCAGAATTGTGCTGACTGTATTAGTTCATGTTGTAGTAAATGGCAACAGTGAATGAAAAGCTTTGTGCTGGATGGTTTATGACTGTCCCTAGGAAGCTTAGCTAAGGGCCTAATTTCTTCTGTAACTCCGTGTTTAAATCTTGCATCATCTTCTCCCAGCCCACGTTTCATACTCAAGTTGTAATCATCTCTCTCCATCCTTCCCATCGCATTCACAGTCTCCTTGCCTGCTTGACTTAATGTCACATTTCTCTCTCTCCTCATATTGTTTCACAGTTGTTTTTGCTGAGCTGCTCCCATTCCCTCATCAGTTTTTTTATCCAGCCTGTCTCCCTGAAGCCTTTAGTCCTTTTGTTTCTGATTCGTAGCAGGAGGCACATGCCAGCTCTCCACTCTGACTTCCAGTCCTATACCGAGCCCACAGGGGTTGGTATAGAGAGGGAAAGTCCTCTCTGTCACAGCTAAAACTTTCAAATTACTAAGTTCTGGCAAAGCTCTCCAGACCAGATGTAAACTACGATCTGTTGACGGCCTGCAGCCTGATGTGGATTAGATAGATGTGAAAAAGGTTCTAGAAACTCACAAAATCACAGAATGGTGGAGGTTGGAAGGGACCTCTGGGGGTCATCTTGTCCAACCCCCCTGCTCAAGCAGGGCCACCTAGACCCAATTGCGTAGGACCATGTCCAGATGGCTTTTGAGTATCCCAAAGGATGGAGACTTCAGAACCTCTCTGGGCAACCTGTGCCAGTGCTTGGTCACCCTCACAGTGACTTTTTCATAGAAACAGCTGAATTTGACTAAACCAAAATTTGCAATTTCACACTCACTTACTCAATAACACCTTGTGGTATCTTTCTTGAACTTGATATAAAATGGCTATACATTTTTATTTTCTCCCACTTGCCCTATGTGACTTATTTCCTTTAATGATGCTATTGAGTGCTTTATTCCTTACCATTCTCACTACCTTTACACAGCTGTTGCATCATTCCTCATGTGGATGACTTGCATTGTGGACTTGGTTTTCTGTAAACTATCCTCCTCTTACTTTCTACATTCATGCTCCTCAAATACAGCTATTCTGGGTTCTGCTGATCTCCCACTATTTTACCCTGGATTGACCGAGCTCATACTTGATTTAATGGAAATGGATCCTTCTTATAGAAACACTAAATTGGTGTTTTATTAAAAGTTGCTTCTGGAAATTCTAGGCCCTGCTTAGTTTCACTAACTATTGGATGCTTCCATCAGAATAAGAAGATTTGCACTTAAGTGATTTTGTTATATAGTCAATCTCCTTTGCTTTTTCCTTTCCACCTGCCCTCTCACTGAATGATGTGTACCAATAGGTCCTTCCCCTCTGGGTTCCTCTGGTATATTACCTAACCAGTCACCTTTTAATGTTAAGAATTTGAGCGTTTGTCAATTCTAGCAGATTTCTGCACAAGGCCTAGTTCAGAGTGAATGCTTTAATACCATTTATACATACTTTTACAGTGAACTAAAAAGTAATCTGTTTTACCTTTTCCTCTTTACAGGGCGATAAAGCAGATTGTTTTTACATTGTAGAATCTGGTGAAGTAAAAATCTTGATTAAAAGCAAGGTGAGTTCAAATTGGGTGATTAGGCTTTAGGTCAATCCCCGATTTGATTGCTTAATACAAGCAGTGTGAAAAAGCATACCCTGACTTATTTTAAGATATTATTTTATTCTGTTTATCATCGTCACTCATGTGATGTAGGTTGTAAATCCTCATACCTGTTCTGAAGTGGCCAGAAGTCACTTTACTAAAGTTGGAAAGTCTTCTGCTTGTATCCGCTCCTCTGCGAACTAACCTGATACGCTTTGCCTGGCCTTAAGGGTGGACGTGAAACTTTTCTTCTAGGATTATAGAAAACAGCAACTTACAAAACCTGGGGTTTGTTATCTCTGGTGACATACTAGACGTTGGCATTTGAACGGATCTCTGTACAGTCTGAAGGAGCCTTAGGGAACAACATGTTGTGCATGATAAAACCTGTGTTAGGCTAATGTAATAGCAGTTCCCAAAGCGGTAACAGTAAATATCTGCCAATCTCAAAACTTGTGGGCTGGCATACACTTTTCTTATCAAAGTTCTAATTGAACATGCTGTTAAGGCATTCCACCACTACAAGTGTGACTTGGGAATTGTTAGTTTAAAAGCCCTAAACCAGTGAGCTGTTGCACATCTGTAAGATATCTGGGATTAATTGCAGCCTTGTACAAAGACAGAACTGTATGCAAATAATTAAAATGTACTGTTTAACAGACTATGACAAGTAAAGAAGCTAACCAGGAAGTGGAGATTGCCCGGTGTCACAGAGGGCAGTATTTTGGAGAGCTTGCGCTCGTTACCAACAAACCCAGAGCAGCCTCTGCCTATGCTGTTGGGGAGGTCAAATGTTTAGGTAAGCAGATGTTCTCTGTTTCTAGTTACCCTTTTCTGGTCTTTGCTTGTTTTGTGGACCATGCCTGAGTGAGCAGCTATTCAAAACCTAGCAGCCTTTTGGTAACTGGCGGTCAAATGCGAGAAGCTAGGAGCATGGGCTGGAGCGGATCTCCACGCTGAAGTTTGAGAAGCACCGCTGCTTCCTTCCGGCAGATTCTGATTTTTCTGCTTGTGTGGCCTGTACTCTTTGAAGGGGTAAGTAGCATCAGCTTCTTGTCTACAGCTTGTTTGTCACACACAGCTTTCAGATTATCTTTTAATGCCAGTGTGGTGTGTGTTTGGCTTCTGTATTTATCCTCAAGGTCAGGTGTGTATTTCATTAATCTTGTTTCTCCAAATAACAGTACAGAGGGAAATTGGAAATACAATTTCTGTTTCTGTGGCTTCTATTGAAGTCTCGAACTTGAATGGATTGGACTGGGGGTCTGTGTTCTGAGTTCAAAAAATAGTTTGGCATGTGGTGTCCTTTTTGACAGAACGATCTTGTTTTCACTTCTGTTCCTTTGCAGTTATGGATGTGCAAGCATTTGAGAGGTTGCTTGGACCCTGCATGGACATTATGAAGAGGAATATAACACATTATGAGGAGCAGCTTGTGGCAATGTTTGGCTCTAGCATGGACCTGTTGGATCCAGGGAATTAGGCACAGGGTACCTCAATGCCTTCTTAGTTCAAGACACAGAAAAGCCTCCTATCAGCAACACAACTCACAAGGAAAACGGACACTATGGAACAGTTACTGCTGCTGTCTTCTTGGGCATTTTAGAAACCATAAACAAGTCTCAGCACAGATGGATTGCTCACTCCCTGCCTCCACTTTGCTGCTGATACTTCATTATTAGACCTAGATTAAAGATGATCCTAACCCTATGTTCACTTACTTGGTTCAGAATGGCATCTGTCCAACAGTTCAAGTGCCTGAAACCCAAAGTGTGCAAGATATAGAAGCCTCCTTCCTTCTGGTGTTACTGTTGGGATAAATTTTCAGATCAGATTCTGTAGTGGGAGTTTGCCTGTTCTGCAGAGGCAACCTGTGGAATATGAGCCTTTTATGGGCTTACTACCTTCATCTGATGCTTTCCTTACACAATGTCAAATTTGCTTTTAATTGTAGCATCTGGGTTTGAAGTTAAAATATCAATGGACCCAATTAATAAGGTGGCACTGAAGCTTTCTTCTACCTGCTGAAAGCAGCAGGTACTATAGCTCTTTAAACCAAGTAAACCGAGCTGGGGACATGGGAGAGTCTGCTTAGCAACAAAATCCAGAAAATGAAGCATTACTGTATTTTAAGTGTTTTCTGAGCAGCAAAGAAAATTGTCTTACTCTATGCTGCCCAAAAAAAAGTGCAGTGGTTCAGATCAAATGGCCTGAAGGTGTCATAATTGTCATCTCCCCAAAGTTGCTCCTTGTTCCTGACACTGAGTACATTTTATTGTGGTGAGATCACAATGTATGACCTTCTCTTCCTTACAGAGATCCTCTATACTGCTAGATTTCCCAAGGTGCTGTTGTTGACTTGGGTCAGTTTTAAAGCTTTTTAAGGAGGTGAATGTTTTGTAATTTAAATGAAGACTACTTCTGTACTTGTTTACAGGAGCTCCCCCCCGGTCCTAACATTTCACAGTATTCTAACTTCATTAGACACTTGGATGCTTCCAAATACCACATTGATTTGCTAAACTTTTCAAAAGTTGGCAACATTTGACTTTGTAAAGCAAATGTCTTTGCTAACTATGCAGTTGGTGTGTTTGAGGAGTCTTTTTGGTTTAGGTGGTAACTAAGCTAATGATGTTTATCTAAAATACCTGTTAAATTTGCAGCATTTATTAGGTAGATTCTATTTCTATAGCTTTAATGACATTAATTGGCATACTGCTGAGATTTTATCAGAGTATTATCTAAATAAGAATCAGACCATAAGGAGGACATTTTTATGTTGTACAAACAGAATATTTATATTAAGACATTGAATTTGTAGGTAATAAATCTAGTGACCCTTTGAATTTGCATTATTCTGCAGCTCATGCAAAACTTATTGTTTTATGGGGTTATAAAATTTTAATTGTGGATGCTAGTGTAACAGAACCTGCTTTTTTTATTCCTGGCCACGTGAGCAAGAATAGAAGGATGCTAATGTAGAATTCCTGCTTCTGGTTATCACAGTGGACATTTCTCTAAGGCATGAGATGCTGGGCCGCAGCTCTTAAGTTGATTTCTGGACAATTTTGTTCCCTAAATGGATGAGCTCCTCCCAGTTCCTGCAATATGAGTAATATGGAAACTTGATGAGTTTGAATGGCTGTTGTCCAGTTACTGTAATTTGAGTCATATTTTTATATAATGCAAATGATTTGTAATGGACACCACTGAACTAGGTGTTTCCATATTATTAAAGTCCTGGTTGTGATGCCTGGTGGCTGTTCTAACTGTATGTATTTTAGAACAGTGGATTTCCCTTGCTTTACTGGGCTGGTTTTTTTGTTGTAAATTACAGCCAAAGAAGCAGAAGGTACTTCTCATTCATGCTTCCAAGGTTTAACACCAAAGACAAAATCATTCTTTTGATTACAGAATTAACAAACAAACAAAAAACACCCCCCCCCAACAAATAAAAACAAAACAACAAACAAAAAACAGGGGGGGGGGGGAAGAAAAAACCCCACTGATCAGGTCCTTGCCTTGATAACAGATAAAACTTTAAGATACTTTGGGCTCCAAGACGAGTCTTTCTGAAGCCAGCTCGTGACTGTCCTGCGAACCAAACATAAACTGGTCTCCAGACCAGTATGAGTTTCTGTGCTGCCTAAATGTGTCATGTGAACTAAAGGGAAACTTGCTGTGAATAATCATCAGCTGACCTTTATTGCTCCCAGGCAGAATATTCTCTCCTTTATCCAGAGGAGCCTGGCAGGTTGGGCTGCCTTACAGATGGATTCTGGTTCTTACAGCCTTTAGTTCTTTGCAGGACAAGGATTGTGTACCTCAGCATATGCGAACATTGGTGATTGTTCTGAAGCTTAACCAAAAAACCAGGCAAGGTTGATGTCAGATTCTTAAAGTAATTCTGCCTGGAAGGGAGGATTTGATGTCTTCTAGAAAGGAAAGGATGAGAATGTATAATCAAAATATTGGGATCCCATGCAAGCAAGAACAAGGTTTTGAAATTTTGTCTTTCTCTAGACTCCCTGAGCAAAGGCGTACTGGGCAATGCCATCCTGCATCCAGAATCTGTGTGACATCATTCTGTGGCATAGAGGGGCAACCTGATCTTGAACTGAAAGAGAATGACCTTGGAAGAAGACTTATCCATTTAAAAGCTGTAATTTGCAATGTGCCTGATTAGTTTGGTCTGGTTTAACCAACCAGTTTAACCTGTACAATTTTGGAGCATGAAGATAGTGAGGAGCTTGTAGTAAGATACTCAACATTGCCAGGTACCTGGTTAGAGCACCAGCAATGAGCAAAGTTGGAAAGCGAGTGGCGATACCAAGACCAGGGAGTGAAGTGAGGCGCCTGTTTGTAAAGGTCTGCCTGCATCACTGTATCTTGGCTCATTCGTTTTCACTATGACTGTTCATCGCAATTGTTGTGGAGAACGAGCCCAGGTTTCTTCTTGTTACTGCTCAGTGTTCAGTAAATCTGCTATGGAGTCTCTGCAATTGGCAGTAGAGAGAGATCTAGTTTTTAATAAAAGAACTCAGCAGCAAAGTGGGCAAAGAGGATAGTGTCTTTGAGACTTAGAGGAAGGAAAGTCTCGTTTGTGATTCCCTCCTTATGATTGTTGTGACGTCAGTGAAGGAGCTTTCAGTGGTCAAATATCCTGGTATGTGGTATCTCTGTTCAATGTCACAGCAAAGGTTTCACAATGTAAAAGAACAAAAAAGGGCAAAAGTGCTCTGTTTTTAGAAACAAAAGTGCAAAACTTGAAACTTTAAAACAAAACTTTAAAAACAAAGTGCAATTTTGCACAGAGGGCAAAAACCAAAACCCCTTTGAATGTCACTTCCATTCTTTCTTTTCCGTTGGCTGAAAGCAGACTCTTGTTCTTGACATGTATTTGTAAACTAGTCTTGCCAAAATACAAACACTTTGTGTTTTTTTTCACTCCAGATAATTTTTGTTGTTATGGTTATTGCTGATTATTTTCACTTTTCAAACCATATTTTTTTATTTCAAGAGGCCTTCCTTGTGGATTTCCTCCTGACGGTCTGCAACACTACACTGCTATTTCAAGATGCAAGAGAAAGTCACTAACCTCGTAGGAGAACACTCAACTCCGCTTAGCTGGCTGGAGCTAATAATGCGCTACTAATTTTCCTCTGCTCTGTGGGGCAGGAGGGGGATTAAATATTGCATAAAGTTGCTACCTCAAGGCTCCAAGTGCTTTTACAGGTCTTTCACTTGGGAGAATTTAATAAGACAGTTCTTAAAATTGGTCTGTTCTTTTGAGTTAAATGTTTTTTTTAATTGATTCATTTGAGGGACCCTTATTTTAATTCATTTTACATTTAGTACTTGATTCTCAAAGGATGAACAGCTGCGAAGTTTGGTTCTTGCACTATAGCATTGAACATGAAAGAAAAATATCTGCCATATAAACATACGGTTTTAACAAGTTAAACCACTCTGGGGTTCAGCTTCACTTTTGGTTAATAAAAAACTGACATGTTGTGTCCAGCCTTCCTGTACAATCCCGTGTGTGCTCTTTATTGACTTACTGCAGCTGACATAGCCCCCCCAGTGCTTATGTCAGGAGCGGACTTGACAGCAGCAAATGAGATTTAGTCGGAGTGCCTGAGTTACTGTTGCTTGTGTTATCAGAGCCTTATGGAGAACAGCACTCGCCCTATTGCAGTAACCAAAAGAGATTTATACATTACTCCACCACCAAGTTTTGCTGTTTGGTGATAAAATTTTACTAATATCTTAAAAATAATACCAATTTCTGTAGATACTATTGCTCCCAATAAAACTGGCTGCTCTGATATGTCTGCCAAATTATCGTAGAACTGATTTATTGTTAGAACACTGTGCTAACTGGTTCTCAATTCCTAGGAGAAACACAATATTTCTGAAGGTCTCTTGCTGGCTGGCACTTATAGCTACTGAATTTTATGTGGCAAGCTGCCTTTTTATTTTTTTTATTTTTTGTTTTTTCTTTTTCCCCCCCTAACTAACAATTTGAGAAGTAAATTACTTTGGTACATGTGAAATTGCCTGTTCAAATACCCAATATTTGCTTTTGCTGAATTTTTTTTTCTAAACATTTAGTATTTTATATACAGTTTTGAAGTTAGTCTGGGAGAATAGTTCAGATGGATTGCAGTGCTAAACATGAGGAAGCCTCTGCCAGAATACAGCGCTTCAGCTTTGGGCACTTCAACTCAAGGAAGATATTGACACCTGAAGGGGCCAGAGGGCAACAGCATGATAAATATCTAGAAAATGTTAACATTTTACAGAAAGATAAGGAGAAACTGTGGGTTTGGTAGTTTTTGTGGGGTTTTTTTGGTTGTGGTTTTTTTTTTTTTTTTGGAAAGAAGGACTGGGGGAAAGAGGGAATATTCAAACAAGGATTGATATTCAATCAATATTCAACCATATTGATTAGAATAGGCCTATTAATACGGGGCGTAAGCTACAGGAGGGAGGCTGTTGATTAGGCATTGAAAAGATCTGTCTGGAAGACAGCTAGCATAGACTTCTTGGGGGAGTGTGAAATCCTACAGCACTACATTTTTTTCAATCGTCCCCTCCTGAACAGTTGCAAACTGGCTCTGCTGAATGCTTACAATATCTGTCTGAGGCAGAGGTGGATTAGATAACCTCTTGGGGAGGCTCTTCTGAGATATGTTACTGTTTTCTTATGAATACCTCTTTAAAATCACGGAGGGCTTTAGCTGATACAAATACGCTGTCTCCAGGCTTTGTGCTACATCAGCAGTAGGAAGACGAAAACAGATCAGTGCCTGTAAAAGCGAGGGAGATGTGCCCTTCACAGCCCAATGCGCAAGCAGGGCTCAGGTCCAAAGCTTGCCAAGCACCTGGGACCGAGGGACAGAGAAAACCCCAAATCCAAATACAGAAAACATCTTGAACTATGAAGTTCCTTTGCACAGACTGAT